TTTTCAGATATTGAGCTTCATCATTTATTAATCAACTAGGTTTGTTTTATTAACCTTACATTTTGATGAGATTTCACTAAATTGGTGAGATGGATTTACTCTTTTGACTGAAGTTTAGGTGACTATATTTAATCGATTAAACCACTCCTCAACTAATAAGTATGAGACATTCAAACAGAAATAACATTAAGTATATTTTCCCATAGTGTACATTTCAAATAATCTCTTGTAAAGAGTAACAACCTATCTCAGGCATATTGGCTTGTGGACAAACTATTTGATAAATATCATTGAATAAGTATTGTGTTGATTTTGACCTCCAGTCTTTTTTCTCCTTATTCTATCCATACATCTGTTACCCATATTAATGTTTTATCAATAAAAAAAAACATCACAAAGATTATACTACCAACAGTCAACAGTGGCAGGATTTTACTGCACTCCATATACATTGATTGTTAGGGTGGTTTCTGTGTTAAATTGAGCGTAGAGAGGCAGTAGTAAGGGAGGGAGAGTGGAGGCAGGTGTAAATTATAGGTAAAGTCGTCAACCTGTAGATACCTTGTTGTAAATGACATGTAAATCCCTTATTAAGGTTAATGGACAAACATTGAAGGAGATTGTGTAATGTGTACGCACGGCATTGATTTATTTTCTTACAAGATGGATTAAGGATAAGATTTCTGTATGAACTAACAGCTGTAGACTTATAGGGTAAAGTATTTTTTGTAGTTGTGTTTAGGATTTAGACTGTTAGATTTACTTTAGGTTTTAAATTGATTGTTATGTATTGGTATATGGTTATTATCAAATCAGGTAAAGTTCTTTCAAGTTAGATTTTTACTTGATCATATTTAAGGTTTTGATAGTAAATTCATTTGATTTCACAAGTTTTTTTTATATGAAGATAATGAAACCAATGTTAAAACATTGAATATATGAAGTGAAGTAATATAAACCAGTTGATACTGTGTAATTGAAAGGAAAGTGAGAAAAATCAAACTTTATATCTTTGGATAGGATTCCAATTTGCACCTAATGTAATTTAATCCAGATTACATTAGCTTCCTAAGTTTTAATCTGGATTTGACAGCTTAAAGAAGGTTATAAAATTTGTAAAAGGTCATTTTATTGGTCCTTCTGTTGAATTTACCACCAATCACAGACTGATTTTCAGATCAATTGAAATTGATTGGCAGATTTATGTGACACAAGTAGGCTATTAATTATTAAAATATTTAGACAAAAAAGATTATTCTTTCTGTGATTAGAGTAAATAATAGTAAATGTCAGGACAGGGAGTTGACCTAACTGGTGTTGACAGGACCATAAACCACTTTATTAAATAAAAACAATACTATATGTGTGCAAGGTTTTAATGGAAGAACCTGGATTGATTTTTCATTCCCTGGATATTTTGTGACTTTTTAAAATCAGTATTCATAAAGATAGATACATGTGTTCTATTTTGGAAATTAGCAGAGAACTTTAGAGTTAGTAAGTTATTCAATATTTGATTTTATTCTATATATATATATATATATATATAGAGAGAGAGAGAGAGAGATTAAAATCTCTAGAATAATACTTATAAGTTTCATTGTTTTTTAAGAAAAAGAACTTTTGAAAAAATGTTTTGGAGAATGATGTTCAATATAGGCAGGTCAGAGATAGAGAGTAAAACTGCTTTGGAGAACAGTAGAATCTAATTCCATTTGAACGTCTTTTAACACTCAATAGGAGAAATTGAGTGTCTGGAAAGTTCGACTTGATTACTATTAAGGTGTGAATAGGATTTCAATCTTCAATCAATTTTTAATCTGTATTAATTGTTGTAAGGAAGATAAACAATAACCAGTGATGTTGTTTATATTAAGTGTTAACCAGTGGGTGTGCTGTATTGGTTGTAGTGATCAGTTCACACTTAGTCAATGGGCTTCAACACAGCTCAGTCACTGACCATTCACTGACCACAGTTGGACACTACACCTTACTAGACAGTAGCAGTTGGACAGTCTCTGTACTTGTAAGACACTGAATGATTTCAACACAGATTTTGAATGCCAAGGTTTGTCTGGTTTGTTGTTTTCATAATAGGTTTAATTGAGTTTAGAGAAACTTAAAACTGATTGTTGTCTTTGACAATGTCCTCCCTTCATTTGACAAATTTAAATAGTGATTGTATCTTTCGAGTACCTCATAATTTTGAAAACATATCTTAGTATTTTGATATCTGATTCTGTGAGTAAGTTTTGATTCTCTTATGTTTGGAATAGGATACTTTGTCCATACTTTGTCCTTTGTTTGTAAACTGAGCATTACCTTGATAAATGAATTCAATTGTATTGTGTCCAAAATTCACAAATTACTGACAATGATGGTTTCTATATTACTTATTTTCAATGATCATTTTGAATTCTGATTGTATCAGCAAATTATTTATGCTTGCATAGACAATCAACTCATTATTTATAATGCATTTAGACCATAGAATTGAGTGATTATTTAGAATTAAGACCCCTCCACCCTTCCTTTCCCTTCCCATCCCATCCCACACAGTGAGTGCAGTATGGTTTGTGTTGCAAATCAGCATTGTCTTGTCTGAATTTATTTGGTTGAAATCTCGTGGGATGGGATGTGCATAAATATTGTTAATGGACTATAATTTTAGTTGAAATGCACTTATTATTCCTAATGTGTTCTGACCACAATATATTCTGAGTGCATTATACTTGGGTAATAGAAACTATAATGGGTTTACGTAATGTTGATTTATATTGGCCAACTGTCTAGGAGTCGTGTAGGAAGTGAAATTAATGTATTAACTACAATGTTAGAGGTAAAATTAATATTAGATACAAGGCCTGGTTCCTGTCAACTGCACAAAATATGTCCTTATAAATCTTTTACATAATTTGATTTCACTAACAGAATAGCTTTTCATTTCATAATTCTAAAAAACAGCAGTGCTTCCAACTGCATACAGAATTTATTTTGATCAGAATTTATAAATTGGTTATATGAATTAGAATAGGACAGATATGTAATGTGGTGCATATAAACGGCACAAAATATATCAACTATATAAATCTATTGTGATTGAACAAAGTAGTTTACTATTTCATAAACAGAAGACTGGGTTTTATTGAAAGTAGAAAAACACAGGGTATAATATCAAAGAAGTTATAACCTTGAAATTGATGCATTCCATGATATCACTTTCATAGAAAATTATTCAATAAGTAGTAAAAATGATTATTTTGTGAGGAAATGGTTTAAGAAAATGATATGTTTTACCAATCTGCATTGAGTAATATTTCAAATGATGGATCTGTTTAAGTAGTTTTCTGATTGGTATGGAAGAAAAAGATTATATTTTGTGTAACCTTTATGTTCTGTGTATTTCTGTATAACTGGTATATGGTTACTCAGACAGAGAAATATGTTGATACAAATAATACATGGTAAAATAAATATGATACAATAATCTATCCTGAGGTGACTGTTGGTCTGAGAAGAATTTGAAATTATGCACATGTAATGGTTGTTTCTTTTATAACAAAATGTAACATTTGAAATCTACTTATTACTTTAATAACTTAATAACTTAGTGTAATAACAGTTGTAACTGTAACTTTAGAATTTGCAAAAGCTAAGTCTGTTCCTGTGTTATAAACATTTTAGTGATTATCAGTTTAAGCTGAAATTTACAAATAAAAGTGAAATGTCCTCATTTCTTACACTTGCTTAGAGAAAGAAGTATTTGTACTTGGTTTTAAAAGATTCCTCTTTCTGAAGTTCAATCTCATAAGTAAATTAACCTTTCAATCACAGAGTTTATTATTCACTAAGTTTGATGTCATTTCTTAGTTTTTTCTCCCTTAAGTGTTACTCTGAAGTCTGAAAATTCTCCTTATTTTGTCAGATCTATAAAAAAAGTTTAATAAAAAAATGTTACAATTCCAGACACAATCTGATTGATACCATCACTGACTTCCGTGAAATCTGATTTTTGCCATTATTGGGAGAGAAAGTCAATAAATGTTAGGAGGAATTGTCAGGAATTGTCAGGGGTTACATGCTAGCTGTAGGTAGATTATGATGTATTTTATAGATTTTACTATCATTGTGTCAGTCTAAGTTTTACACCCACTGAATCTATCCTTTGTTCTTGGTTTATCACAGTTCAATACATGTATGTTAACATAAAGTTTCTTTGACGAGTAAAAAATTTTGAATTTGAAAAAATAGTTTGAACAGGGACTCAACCCTTTTTACATCAAAAGTTAAAGTGGTGTGAGTCGTGCTAGTCAGTATCTCAAGCCCTTTTCAGTCGGAGAGAAATTGCCATGTTTTTCTGAATTCTGGATAACATTGCAAGAGAAAATCAGTCACCAATGATCTGGGGTCAAATCAGGTCTTAAATGTCAAGCGTCTGATTAAATTGGGAATCACTTCCTACAATGATTGGTCACTTTTGTGAATTCTGCTCACATAGCAGTGGCGGAAACCTTATATAATGGACTTCCTGTAGACAACGTCTGATGACCAGACCACTTTAACGACCACTCTTAATAGAATCTCTTTCTCTCTTTTCAGGTGAAAATTAGACGAGTAAACTCAAACTGATGAAATTAAAAGTATCCAATTAGACTTGGAATTAAAGAGATTGAAAAAGAGTTGACCGGAACATATCAAGGACTTCATCTGGAATAACCAATCAGTATCCATGAGAAGCTAGCGTCCATCTTCAAAGACATAGTCCGGAAATGATTTCCAAAATGGCTTCCACAATTTTTCTGTTGATTTGTGTGATATTTGTAACAAGTGTTTATGGAAATGAGATTTTATTAAAGTTCGATTTTGAGGAGGAGCAAAATAGTGGAACAGAAATTGGAAATTTGGCAAGTGCGAGTAATTTAAGTCAATATTTTAATGCCGTTCAATTTCAAAAATTAACATACATCATCTTTACGGAAGGCAATAAGTATGCTAGTATTTTTGATGTAGATTCCAAAACTGGCTCTCTCACTTCTGCTAAAAGGTTGAATCGAGAAGAAATCTGTCCATTTGATGAAATCTGTAAACTTAAAGTTGATATTGGTGTTTACATCAAACAGAGTTCTGGTATTGATAATCTAGTCAAAATAATAGTAGTCTCTGTCTTTCTGACGGACATCAATGACAACACTCCTAAATTTAAAGATAGCAGATTGACCCTTGAAGTTCCAGAATCAGTTCCTGTTGGTCATGTTCTTCTTCTCAGTGGTGCAGATGACCCTGATATTGGTTCAAACGCCATTCAATCCTACAGAATGATTCCTGATATTGGAATGTTTGAGTTACAAGTGATTAAAAATTTGGATGGTAGTTCTGATTTAGGAATTGAAGTCAAGAGACGTCTGGATCGTGAAACCATGGATAATTTTAATCTGAAAATTATTGCCCAAGATGGTGGCAACCCTCCAAAATCTGGCTCAGTTGATGTTGAAATTGTTGTCTTGGATAATAATGACAACAAACCCCAATTCCTGAATACTCCATTTGGTTTCACCATTCCTGAAGATTTTCCTGTGGGTAAAACCATTGTGAAACTAGCAGCAGTTGATCCAGATTTGGAAAATAATGGAAAATTGGTCTATTCTTTTAGCACCAGAGCTTCAGATAAAGTCAAACAGTATCTTGGAATAAACAATCAATCTGGGGATATTTTCCCCATAAAGAAATTAGATTATGAGTCTGACCCTATACTGGAGTTTCTGGTGGATGTGAGAGATCAAGGAAACCCACCCAAATCCTCCCAAGCTTCAGTGAAGATCAATATAACTGATGTGAATGACAATGCTCCACAATTGAAAGTGAATCTACCACCAGCCAGTAAGTCTATATCTGAAGATGCTGTTATGGGTTCCTTTGTAGCTCATGTTTCAGTGTTTGACTCTGATAGTGGACCAAATGGTGAAATCACTTGTGAAACTGAGGATGACAGATTCTCGCTTCTCCTCTTCTCAGATTTTGCCTACATTTTCAAAATCTTATTACAGAAGCCTTTGGATTATGAAGAAGCTAAGAATGTAACTGTAAATGTTTCATGTAAAGATAAAGGAGATCCTCCACTTTCAAATTCTACTTCCTTCACATTCAATGTGGGAGATGAAAATGACAATGCTCCAGTGTTTGCACGACAGGAATATAGAGTTGCTTTTACTGAAAATAACAGCATTGGTGATGAAATTGTTGAATTAAAAGCAACTGATAAGGACAGTGGAATTAATGCAAAGATTTTCTACGACTTAGTGAATTTGACAAATATTGTGTCTGTGGATAAGAATAATGGAAAACTTAAAGCGGAAATTGTGTTTGATCGTGAAGTTAAGTCAGAATATAATTTTCTGGTAAAGGCGTCTGATTCGGGTAATCCTATTCTCTCAACCACTGCTAATGTTGTTGTCATTATAATGGATCAAAATGATCATCCTCCATTATTTACAACTAAACATTTTAAATTTGTGATTCTGGAAAACCAGCAACCTGGAACGTACGTTGATAGATTGAATGCCACTGATGCTGATAACAATAAAAATCCAACCTTTTTGTTTTCCTTCGCTCCAGATTCAGTTGTTAATGATTTTAGTATTGATCCCTATACTGGATTTATCAAAACGAAAATAGTGTTAAATCGTGAGAAACAAGGAGAGTATGAGTTCCGTGTGTTTGTGACTGATAAAGAAAAATCTACTTATGTAGATGATGCTGTGGTAACCATTACTGTTCTAGACGATAATGATCATGCTCCAACAATTACCTATCCTAATGAATATAACAAAACTGTGTTCTGTCCATATGATAGTCCAGCAGGAACTATTTTGTTAACAGTGGAAGCTTATGATCAGGACACTCATGATAATGCTAAAATTTCATACTCCATCAATAAAGGCAATGATAAAAACTTATTTATGATCAACGAAGAGTCTGGTCAAATTTTGATACGCCGTACGATACAAGCAAGTGAAGCAGAAACCTACCCCTTAGTTGTAGGTGCACATGACAATGGAGGCAAATCACAAAAAGATTCTTACGCAAATGTGAATATAGTGCTAACTGGTGGTAATGCCACTCTTGGGAAATTCGGTGGGAGCAATGAAGGCTCAGACAATCACAATATGGCCATCGTCATTACTCTAATCATAGTGACAATAGTGCTAGCAATCGCTGTCATAGTGACTATCTGTATTATTAGAAAAATAGATCGCGAAAGACGCAAGAAAAATACCAGTAAGATGGTAGAAGTGGAAAAGGCCTGTGAAATGCAAAAGCCTTTTCATTGTATGAAAGACTCCAAAGGGAGCGATACAGAAGACAATGAAATTGAAAAATTAAAACAAAAAATTAAAAACGATATAAGTTTTTCAGTGCAAGATAGTGATGGTAATTTTGACAGTTCTTCCTTTACTAATGTGACATCATTTACCACATTTACTGGGAAAAATTTAACATCATATTCATCAATAGAACAGAAGATGCTGGAGGTTTGTAGACATTTTATATCAATTTCTAGGTTATGACAGATGTGATGCTACCACTTAAATCAAGTCTATTTTTAATGGATAAATGTTTTTTTGCTTTCTGTGCAGTGGAAAAATCTACAGCTTTGGATACAAAATACAAAAATAATTCAGTATTAAAATTTATTCAGGACAAACAGAAAATTCACATTGCAACAATTTGTGAGCATAGAAATGCTAGAAAATCTTCATTTAATTCAAACAGTAATTATTGTCTCATGGGACTTGAAATTTTTTAGTTCTTATATCTGCTGAAACATATTAGTGTAGGCACCAATCCATTTCATTATCCTGATCTATAACATATAATACAAAATAATGTTGCTTTCAATTCCATAAAGATTACTTTTAAATGAAATGTATTTCTGGAAATGTGATTGCATGATTTCAGACTCATTTCAATATACCATGTCAAAATATCACCTTGTTTCTAAAAACAGATTGATTATATTGGAATTGAATAAGAGAAACCACTCTATTATAAGCATACAACATATTTCATTGAAAGCATTGCACTTAATAACATTAGTAATAATGCAATGGGACAATTTGACCTGCATAGTTCCTGTGTTTGACTTGCTGTCTCCAGGGATCCATCCATCAAGCTATTGTTCAGTCTTCAAGCTCTTAATAATTTGCCATATTAATCCCCAACATAAAGAGGGTAATAATATTTTGATGAAAGGACGATGCACAAGCCACCATTGAAGACACTTCAATCCCTCTAATTAGGAAGATTGTTAAATACCCTAACTACAGGTTCAGTTTCAACTTGTGCATTGGCTCTAATTTAGAAATGTTGCTTCAAAATCTTTCAATTTTAAGTATCATAACTTTCAATATATAGTTTCGTATGAAGTGTGATTTTCACAAAATGCGTTTAATATTTGATAAAGTTTTATCTTAGATTTTTGAAAATGTCATACATGATTAAAGATCATTGATGATATTGTTGAATTTTTCATGTCTGGTTGTTCTAAACATTACCATAGTTGCCAAGGAAATGGAAATGACAAAATCAAAAAGTAGTTTCTTTTTGAAAAAGAAAACGTAAAGGAAAGAAAATTAATGAGCTAATTTTGTTCTGGCTTCCATGAAAACTCAAGATGTTATTTTTGTTATTAGATTATGATTGAAATCAGAAGTTGTAATATGATTTGTAGTGAAGTTATAGCAGGAATATTTCTCTCAGCGCTACTGTTTGTTGAGGGACACTCATTCAGATACCTTGTAATATTAATAGACTAATATTTTAGCGCTAATTTGATTAGGGTTATGCCAGTGTCAAATGTCGGATGTGGTCAGTTTGGAATAGCATCTAGTTTTAATACATTATCTTTGGTTCAAGCTTTAAGTTATATATGTGGTCTAGTAGTAAAAACGAACTAATCATTAAGGGTTGTGGTCAATCTATTTTTAGTTAGCATCCTTTTAGCTGGAGAAGTTACTTTGTATATGTTTTCAACCCAACAGGCTTGTCTTGATTAAACAATGCCTGCATTTCTACTCAAAATATTAGCTGTGAACTTCACAGATACTTATTTTGCATGTTTCGACTCAAATCGCACTTTTGGTTTGACAAAGACTTTGACAAAAACTGCATTGAGCCAAGACCATGTCTACTCATCATTATCCCAGCAGTAAGAAGATATATGCCCACTCAATGAATTAGTCTTAAGTTTGTCAACGTGCCCTTTCTGACCTATATGTCAGTAGTTTCACTAAGACTATTTAAGATATCTTTGTCTATGCCGTTGTAAGCCTGGCATAATCTGACTATAGTTATTACAGTCCCTCAATAGATCTGCTTGTGTTTTATTACTCAGTGTTATGTTGGCGGTGATTTACTAAGGAGGATTAATGATTAAGTATATTAAAGATCAACTGTCTATAAATAGTTTTCATATAGGATCGAACAACTGATAATGTCAGTGTCATTTTGAAAGAAATAGGGTTAATCTTCTGGTATTAATTTTGGTTATTTGATATCAAAGACTTTCTGATCTTTCTGAAGTCTTAGAAAAAATTATAGAGATTTTTTGTGGTCAGAATTTAAGTCTTTTGATCTGTTACAATAAGCTTTGCTATTTTTGGTCCATAACATAAGAATTGCATGCATTGCTTTATGGATTTGTGCATATCCATTAAAGTTTAATTCAGGTCCATTGCTAGTGGCCAACCAAACCAAGTTGTCACATCTCTAAATAACTATCCTTAATATACTCTCATTACAGATATTAAACCCCTAAATTTGTTTTCCTTGTTAAAAGTAATCCTTGTAAACATTAATATTTAAATTTAGAAGCTTGAAAGGTCAAAATCCACATAATGCAAGAACATTTTTTAAGTCTCCGAAGCGAATCAAGTATGTTGGATATCAAGTTAATCTTCATATAAAAGCGAATTTTTTACTTTTTAAAAGTAATTTTCCTTTTAAAAAATTTAAATGTGATCTTTCTACTTTGTTGAGGGCAGTTGAAGCATGGTGTCTACAAGGGAAATAAAAAGATGCTGTGATAATTGTTTTCATAATAATTGGTGAAGAGTAAAATATGTCTGAATAGCTTTATTGAAGAGGAAGAATACACAACTCAATTAAATCAACACACGCTAATTATTTTCTGTGATTTTTCATTGTTCTTAACATAACAGAGAAATTTAATATTGATATGAATGTGCAGGGTGATAAACTTTAAAAAGTCTTTGGGATAGGAGAGAAGCAAAAGAAGGTTATATATATGACTTTATGATTCTACAGTGGTTATATGAAGTTTGGGAAATAATATGATGATGGAATCTTGGTACTTAGATTTGTCTTTGGCTCATTATTAGATATATCTATGTTTAATTTTGTTCCTATAATCATTTAATAGAAGAGTCTTCCAATGCTACTTTAGGTGAAAAATGAACGTCTTCATTCTAAGTAAAAAAATTCGGTTAGAAAAACACTGAATTCAATAAAGTAAATTTTTGCTATCAATTGATCTGAGTATTAGAAATTGAAAAATATTTATTATGAATCATAACACCTGAACAGTTTGTACAGTCATCTTAGCTTATTCATACCTTTCATTGTATTGACTGGCCAGGTAGCCATTGATTTTACTTCATATACATTATTGATGTACTAACTTCAACACTGAATCAAGAATTCAATAGTCCAGTTGATGTCTGCCATTGTTTCATTTGATTTCACCGCACCTTGAATAGCCTTGACTCACAGACATTATCATTGACAATTTGGAAATAGATAACAATGACATTTTACAACTGAGTCATCTAGAAATGGGAATTTTGAAATTTGTTCTGAATCAGTTGTTATTGATATTGTAATTTGTATGATATATCAGTTGAAGGTATTAAACGTGTGTGAATGTATTCAATGATCAGTGATATCTAGCCTTATTTTAGTAACTATATATGATTATTAGTTTCATACTGAAACTTAATGGTATACCATTTTGACAGCTTCTGTGTCTAGACAGTATACCTGGTAGTTTCAAAATTAATTCCAAAATTCTTACATTACTATATTTGTCATTAGATTGAACACTGCTTTCCAGAAGTTTTGAAAGTTTTCTAAAAAAGAAATGGTAACCGCCATAATCTTGAATTATATAAGGCAAAAAATACAATCTGCTTACCATGGCCGTGTTTTTAACAGAAATATTGCCTCATGCTATTGTTCATGCTCGAAATATTTATTGACTTTTGTAATAATTTGATCAATTTTTATATTACATAATAATGGCTCACCTGATATTTTAATGACGTCACTTATTGCCTTTTAATTTTATTAATTGGAAAATAGTGTTTCTGCAATAAACTAGACTTCAAAGAAATTTTTCTGCTAAAGGTGCAGACTTCTTATTGACAAATCGTGAATATGAGATGTCAAACTATTTTTAGATTTGACTTTTTCTAATAAATTTTCATCATTGATTTTGTCTGCACAACATGAAACAATGGTGTTTTGTTCTTGTCTCATGTCATCCAGTTGAAACTATTTTAAAAGTGTAAGAAGTCTAATTGAAGAAATGCTAGATATGCACCTGGCATTCCCAAAAATGAGTACCAATTCTTTTAAAAATTTGATACAATTGAATGTTGTCTTATTATTAGGTTGATCTTCAAAATTACATAATAAGGAATTAAATTGGGACATTTTATCACTTTAGTATCTCACCTGATATACTGCTAAAGGCATGCTGGGAAACTTGTCACAAAAGTGTCAAAATGACTTACTAACATACCACTCTGACGTCAATCCATTCAAGTCCATTGAAAATGTTCCAAACATGTTTTTTCTGTGCTTGCTGTGTTTTTCTATTACGTCTAATATTTGCAGAAGATTTGCACATTTTGATCTGGTTTCCTTGAACCTCTTTTAGTTCACTTGTTTCATACATCAGAGTTAAAAACGATAGATTTACTCTAGGACAACAAACTATTTGTCTTACGAATTAAAGTGAAATGTTTTTAATTGTTTCTAAAAGTTCATG